AGATAGATAGATAGATAGATAGATAGATAGATAGATAGATAGATAGAGAGAGAGAAAGATACTCATTTTAAAGTAACTTGGGTTTTGGTGTAAGAGGTTGATCTAAATTAAAAATGTTTCGTTGTTTTCACTAAATAGTCTATTTTACTACCTTTCCCTCTACTAGGCTGTGGGGGAACTGGTTAGTTCTCAAGTACTGTCATCCTTTGGTACTATGAATTGTCCTTAGGTTAATGAGATGTCTTGGCACAAGGATGTAGGTATAGAAATGTCAGGGAATGAAAAATACCTTGAAGTCAGCTTCTGCTATTTCTTTTTTTTAACCCCTTGTACTGGATTGAACCACAGACCTCCCTGTGATGGTAGCCAAGTACTCCTTCACTGAGGCACAAGCCCAGCCCTCTCTTCACTTTCTGAGACAGTCTCACTCAGCTGCCAAGGCTGGTATTGAACTTGCTCTCAACCAGACAAGCCTTGAACTGGTGTTCTTCCTGTCTCAACCTCCCTGTTTCGGGGACAGGGCTCATTGCTCTCCAAAAACAGGTGTTTGCTTATTTGCCCTTGGAGACTGGCTCTTTCCATGATACCCAGGCTCATTTCGGACTTCTGGACTCAGGAGATTGTCTTGCATTGGGCTCCTAGTAACTGCGATTACAGGTGTGCGCCGTTGTGTTGGACAAGCAGACATTTTTTAAAAAAGAATTCTTTGGTATTTCACTTCTCTTCGGGCCATGATTCCAAGTTTACCATCAGAGAAAAAGAAAGATTAATTCTTTTGGACGTTGTGTTATATGATACCAATACTGCAAACCTAAATTGATGAAGTTTTAGTTGCTGTATGTCTGCTAAAGGAGTAGAGGGTCTCATGTTTATTTGATCGATAGGCAAGTTCCCAGGAAGACATGATGAAGGGTAGTTTATATTTCCGTTCAATTACATGTTTTAAGTGGGGGAACTTAAAAACTTGTTCTGGTTTGCTAAGGATAAACTCTGAATTATACTTTCACAAAACTCAGGAGCTTGTATAAGTAGCCAAGTATAAAACAAGTAGGTATGGTTGAATCCTAACTATCTTTATCAGTATTGGTTATTACAGTAGTAATATTCAGTATACATTTCTTTTGGCTTTCTGAGTTTGCTGGTTTTGGTTCAGATTGGACCGTGTTCAAATCTTGACACTAGATCAGGTCTTTCCCCGCCTCTAGCCCTCCTAGTTAGAAAATTAACTGATTCTTGTCTAATGAAAGGGAGGTTGTTACTTCTTGCAAATTGTGCTTCTTCATTCTTGTATCCTTTTTATTTCTCATCTGTTAGATGGGGATAGTAAAAATAATACTGTAATGCCAGTTTCATAGGGCTGTTTAGAAATAATGCAAATAAAGTCCTTAGCAAGTGAAGTGCTTTACGTGGGTAATATTAGCTACTAGTTTGGTCTTCAAAATACTTTTAAACTTTGTTTTCTACACTGGACATAGTAATAGCAGTCGACACCTGTGGTAGTTCTCAGCTGTGGTCCCGCACTTGAGATTGAATGCCACCACCCATCTTCAACTATTGAGGGAGTTCTGGAATACAGAGATTCTGCCCCACCAAAAAAAAAAAAAAGATTTTGAAGTTTGTTTCTGGCCAGGTATGACACAAGTCTGACATGCAGGAGGCTAGTGTAAGGGTTTGAGTTCTGACCTAGGCTACCTAAACCCTGCCTGAAAAATGGCTTTCCAGGGGAAGTTGAAAATCACACAAGCAGAGATTAAAGACGTGCACCACCACTGCTGGATTTAAAAAATCCTTAAATGTAAAAAGTAAGTGTATTTCTCATAGACAATGTGTTGAGTGGAGTGGACGCTGTTAAGCAGCACAAAAGTTACGTTATCCTTAGCTGTCAGCAGTAACCTCCACAACAAAGCAGAATAGATTTTATCTTAAAAATAGATCCTGAGAGTAGTATGTACTCAGAAGGCCCATGTAACATGACTATATAGCGTAAAAGGTGAAAATTACTATTTCCTCACATTCGAGTTCCAATTCCTACATGTATCCACCCTTAGCCCTTGTTAGCAGTTTACAGTCTTCCTTCCTTCCTTCCTTCCTTCCTTCCTTCCTTCCTTCCTTCCTTCCTTCCTTCCTTCCTTTCTCTTTCTCTCTCTCTCCCTCCCTCCCTCCCTCTCCCTCTTCTTTTCTTTCTTTCTCTCTCTCTCTCTTTCTTTCTCTCTCTCTTTCTTTCTCTCTTTCTTTCTTTCTCTCTCTCTCTTTCTCTCTCTCCTCTCTTTCCCTTTCTCTCTTTCTCTTTCTTTCTCTCTTTCTCTCTCTCTCTTTCTCTTTCTCTCTCTCTCTCTCTCTCTTTCTCTCTTTCTCTCTCTCTTTCTCTTTCT